TGCCTTTTCTAATAGTTTGGGATTAGTTTAGCAGGCGTGCTATGCTTGATCCGCAAAAAGAACTACAGGAGTACTTGTGGCACCTTAGAGACTAACAAATTTATTAGAGCATAAGCTTTCGTGGACTTCCGAAGAAGTGGGCTGTAGTCCACGAAAGCTTATGCTCTAATAAATTTGTTAGTCTCTAAGGTGCCACAAGTACTCCTGTTCTTCTTTCTTCTAAGTGCGGTCACTCGGATCGCTTGGAAAGGTGCATATGGAAACAGGTGAGGAAAGTTTCCCTACGAAGTCGAATCTTGCGCAGCCCCTGAAAATTCCCACGAGAAATGGCTGCTTTGTAATAAACATGCTCTGGTTCAACCACAAAATACAGGCTTGGTGCGGGGATTGGCGGGGGGAGGGGGGGTCTGGGTCTAGGCTGTGCAGGAGGCCAGACTAGATGATCACAATGGTCCTTTCTGGCCTTAAAATCAACGGCTGGACCTTTAGCCGTGTGGTTTGTGCAGAAGGAAGAGAACCCCGAGTCACTGTCTCTAGCCACAGTGCCAGGCCTTGCAGTGAGTGGGACAGGCAGCCTCCACCTGCCAAACCTCATATATCAGAATCAAAGCCTAACACTGCATTGGATGCAAAGGCAGAGTGTCGGGCTAGGGAGCTCCCCAGATTGCAGGTAGCCGCCGGGGATGCTGAACATCAGTAACCAATTGTGTCAGCAGCTGGAACGGAGAATGGGAGGAAAAATCAAACCGCAGAGCACAACGGTGTTGGCAAAGGCAGCTGTTGAGAACCTGCTCTCGGAACACGCTGTGTGCTAAGCAGTTGCGTGGAAAACAGCCAGGTCTGTAATATTCAACTGGCTGGGCGCCTAGGGGTGCTCTGGACTCTGGCTGTAAAACAAAATGTCCCAGAGCGAAACGGGAGAGCTACAGAGACAAAGGGCTGCTTCCAGCAACAGCTGAGGTGAAATGAGAGCAGACCACCGATGTGCATAAAAATGGCCCTACTGGGTCAGACCAAAGGTCCATCTAGCCCAGTATCCTGTCTACCGACAGTGGCCAATGCCAGGTGCCCCAGAGGGAATGAACAGAACAGGTAATCATCAAGTGATCTATTCCCTGTCGCACATTCCCAGTTTCTGGCAAACAGAGGCTAGGGACACCATCCCTGCCCAGCCTGGCTAATAGCCCTTGATGGACCCATCCTCCATGAACTTATCTAGTTCTTTGTTGAACCCTGCAGAGTGGGAGGGATTGTGTCGTTATTTTGTAGGGTGCCATGTTGACTGGTAGAGATCACAGAGATGCTCGGGGCATCCATGCCCACAAGCCCCTGAAGACGCAGACACTTGGCCCTTCCTGTGTTGAGCGGTGTAACTTACCTATGGCTGTGGGGGCCGCTCCTTTAGGTTCTGAAGGGAGGCGTACACTTGGCACCTCTCTTCCCCAGCTGAGAAAGATCACCCCGACTCCCCCTAGTACCTGAACACCTGGCTGACCCCACCTCCCTGCACAGAGTCTCGCCATGCAAAGCCAATTCCTGGCCGGCCCAACAGAGCCGCCTCCTGCTGGTTCCCAGCCAGAAGGCACGCCCAGGATCGGGCGGCAGGGCGGTGGTACAGGGCAAGGCGGGAGGGTGGAATCCTACTAGGGAGGGAGGTTTTGCTGAGTCTCCCACCCCCATTTCCCAGCAACCAGGAATCCTCCCCCTCCCTGCTCCAGCATGGCAGCCCCCGCCTCTGTCAACTCATCCACCATTTCCCTGGTGCCAGCCTCGTTTCCTAGGGTTACTGTGTGTTCCGCTGATCCGCTCAGTGGCTGCTCGTTAGATACAGCAATGCTCTGACTGATATCCAGGGATCTCACAATGAAGGGGAGCCAGGTCCGGGTATAAACCTCGCCTGCAAGAGGCAGTTCCTGTGTCCCTCTGTGCCTGGGCAAGTCACTTCCCTTCTCGCTCCGTTTCCCCTCTGAAATAGGGACTCTCATGCTGACTTACCACAGAGGTTTCTGTGGGTGGGGGCGATAACGTTTGTCCGATGCCTGGGAAGAGCTCTGACAACGAAACAAGTGCAGCTGTTCTAACTGGAGCGAGAGGACGAACGTGAACTCGGACCAGGTAGCTGTAGAGGCACTAAATATTTCCTGCTATTAAGCGTCTCTCCCTTTCTTTGCTGGGCGTTTGGTTTTGTTCCACCCCGAGGCTGTGGCCTGACGTTGCAGAGTGGAAAGCCTCCAAATGCATTTCCCTTTGAGGAGCAAAAGGTGCCTATAGTTGGCAGGTCAAACTCAGCGGCTGCCGCCCTCCGAAAGCACCTGCCAGAAGCTAAGAATCGCAGAGCTGTGTGGCTGGAGAGCTTGTCTCCCCAATAGCAGCTGGTCCAGTAGAAGACATCACCTCCCCCACCTTGTGTCTCTAGTCTCCTGGGACCCACACGGCTACAGCAACACTGCCAGCGAGGCAGTTCTGTTCTATATACGGGGCAGCGCTGGGGGGAGGGGGGACTATTGCCACCCCAACATTTGCCTTAGCCACCCCTCCCAGAGCTGGGCGCCCGGCCAGCAGCTCCCCCCGCCAGGGCAGCCTCCCCGTCTATGGGAAGCTGATCCGTGGCACGGGGGGAGCTTGCCCGATGCTAGAGGTGGGCGTGCCCAAGGGGGTCTCCGCTGAGCAGGGGGTCGGGCGGGGGCAGGGCGCCTCTGGTTCAGGAGTGGGACCTGCAGCTGCGTCTGTACCGAACAAGCATTCAGGCGCCTGAGGGCTTGATTTAAAGAGAGCGCGCTGACCCCCTCAGGCACAGGTTCTAAGAGCAGGGGGAGCAAACATTAAAAAGGCGCCCCCCCTTGGCTCCTCCTCTGGCCACGCCCCCTTGGCTCCTCCTCCGGCCGCTCCGCGGCTGGCTCCTCTGGCCATGCCGTGCCGTCCACATGCCCCCCCCGTCGGCTCCTCCAGCTATGCTGCCCCCCTTGCCTGCAAGAGCCCAGCGCCGGCCCGGCAGGCCAAGCTTCAGAGCGGTGCTGCCCCCCACCCCCTGGTTCGTCCGGCCGTGCTGCGGCCATGCTGTGCCCCCCCCTTCAAGCCTGGGGTGCGGCAGGCCCCCCCCCCCCCCGGGTCGTGCAGGAACAGAGGGGGTTACAGCCTGGATCGGGGTTACAGGGCCCGGCTCTGCTCAGGGGTTTTGACCCCTCACGGCTGGCCGGGAACGCAGCTCCTGGCGGGTCCGAGCCCCTTGGGCAGTAGGGCAGTTTGGGGGAGTCTCTGTGCTCCAGGCTGAGCGCCGGCCGCCCTGAACTCATCCTCCTCTTGCCCGGCTCAGGCCGGGCGGCAAAGAGCCAGAGGCTCCTGGCTAGGCTGACATCCCTGCATGCCTCTGTTCTTCCCTGGGGCCCGCCCGCTTCCCCTCACGCACCCCGGAGCAGCGAGAGCCGCCAGCTCCATTCGTCTGTCTTCTTCCCCTTCCTCGCCCGAGGCCACCCTCGCTCCTCCGGCCATGCCGCCCCCCCCCACCCATGGCTCCTCCGGCCGTGCCGCCCCCTCCCCATGGCTCCTCCAGCTATGCTGCCCCCCTTGTCTGCAGGAGCCCAGCGCTGGCCCGGCAGGCCAAGCTTCAGAGCGGAGCGTGGGCCCCGCCCGCTGGC